GAATTAAAACTATTCAGTATTTTGGAAGTTACTGTGTTTCCACTTTCACGATATACCATATGCTGACAACAAAACTTTCTATAACTGGATAATTTACTGTATCATTGATGACAAAAAGTTTTTGGATGGATTTTGTCTTGGGCTTAAAATATTTGAACTGTTGGACTAGATTCTTAGTTTATTCTAACTTCTGCAGTGTGTTGGGAGATGCTGAAGCTGTGCTAGACTGAGAATCAGGTCTGCTTAAATTATCTTATCTGCTTTTTCAAGATTGATAAAGCTACCGAAAATGTATGTGTTTAGAATGCTGCACAATGTAATAACTAGAAATACATAGAAGAAAAATATTTAATTTAATGCTTTCAAGTATACAGATACAAAAAATTACATAACATGAAATTTTATTATGCTATACTGGTGTATTTATGTGAAGTATTCAGAACTTTTTCTTTAATTATTATATGTGATTTCTATTGCTTATATAAGAATCAGCAATTTGTCTTACTGAATCGTGTCTTTTTTCTGATGTGCAAATTCATTTTCCTTTCCTTAGAGGTAAAAGCTAAGTAAGCTACAATATATTTCTAGTGTAATAGAAGGAAGCGTGCTAGAGGTAAAATACACTTATTTAAGTCAAGCGTTTAATTAGATGTAGATACTGAACTTTCTTTGATTAAAAAAATTTCATTGGAAAAGCTTGTAACTTATGTAACTTATTTCAGTTCTCAAGGTTAAACAAGTCTTTAGTATAATAGAAATAATAACATTATTTGCTTTATCAATGTGTCTAAAAATAGTTTCTTAGTGAATATTTTGTTCTAGCTTCTAAGTAACAGTTCAGGAATACAATAACTATATTACAATTGCAAGTATTAGCAAGCACACAGTATCTGCATTACCATATTAAAAAATCCACATAAATTAGTACCACAGCTGCATTATGCAGAGATCAGCAGGTTTAAAATTAGGCATTGTTATGAAAACTCTTGTCAGTATTCTTAGTAGAAGGAGCATTTCCAACAAAACTTGTTTCCATCAGAAAATATTAATTCTTCCAAGCAGAATTATTCTGCAAAACACATTGCTTTCAACACCTTGGAGCCAGAGTCAGGAGTTCCATGGTAGCCTTGCATGGAGACCTTATCGGGCCCCAAAACATAAGGCCAACCTTGTAGTAGAGATCCACCTGGGGTTGATCCAAAGGATTTCAGGAGCTGGTTTGAGAACAATGCTCCTTCCAGTGTTGCTGGAAAAAGATATGTAACTAATTCTTAGGGCTTTTGGTTTCCCAGCGGTGGAGCCCTTAGTCAGGAAAACCGTGCAGAGAAGGTCCCGCACTGCGCACAGCTCCCTGACCATTCCTTCATGTAGGCCAGCTGCTCCTTCCTGCTCTGCAGGACTCAGACACTGTAAGACTGGAAGGTTGAGTGAACCAGCTGGCTCGTTATCTGAAATGCAGATTTTTGCTGTGCCCAATGTTGCCTGCATACATATTCTACTGTCGAACTGTGCCTCATGGAATTCCCATTTGCAGAAGTATATTTTACTTTATAAAATGCTGTTTTATCAAAACAAACACATTAAAACATTCCTGCTTTTCAGGGGACTTCTTAAAATTGGAATTGGCATATAAACTGGAAATCACTTAACTTTAATTTTTAATATGAAGTTATGAATTATCCTCAATATATGTGCTGAACTTTGTTTTATTATAAATGATTAATCCTGACATAGATTATAGTGCCCATAATACTACAAAATGTACTGCTGATTTAAGATTTCCTACTTCCCGTTATATAATTACAGTATAATGGTCTTTTGAACATTTTTAATATTTAATTGTTTTTTGCAGTGATAAAAATAAAAGAAGAACAAAAACAGTAAAGAAAACATTGGAACCTAAGTGGAATCAGACATTTATTTATTCTCCAGTTCATCGGAGAGAGTTTAGAGAACGAATGTTAGAAATTACTCTTTGGGACCAAGCACGAGTTCGAGAGGAAGAAAGTGAATTTTTAGGAGAGGTATACAATTATTGGGGGTTTTTATAGAAATACAGTTGCTCACATATTCATGTCTAGATACAGTATTTTTGAAAAAATGGTTATATAAAGCAAAGCAAAAGTGTTTGAAATTGTTGTGTTTGTCCTTACTTCACTTAGTGGTAAGCTTGTGACTTACTATGGTGATCTTGCACTTATCACATAGTACTGATATGAGATTATTTTTGTGTTTGCTCTGTTTTAGTAACAGCATGCACATGGTTTCTCAATTTCTTTTAGAATTGTTCATTAAAATCAGTGTTAGTCGTAGTTGTATTTTCCCAAAACATTGGAATGTTGCTAACTAACTTCCTATGAGATATTTGAATGCTGTAAAGGTTGTCATAAGGTAATAAGGGTTTTGTGAAAGATTTTTGGTATTCATAGTGTTATAAAAGGCACAGAAACTCCTTTCATGTTAAATGCAAGATTTTTATAAAACTTCAGACAAAGTCCTTAACAATAAGAGAATAATACAACAAAGTGAATAATAGAATAAAATTTATGAACATACCTATTTTAAAATGTTCTGTTATGCAATGCTTTCCTACTTTTAACCATTTTTCTCTTCTTTAGATTCTTATTGAGTTAGAGACAGCATTACTAGATGATGAGCCTCACTGGTACAAACTTCAAACACATGATGTCTCTTCATTGCCACTTCCCCATCCTTCACCGTATTTGCCACGCAGACAGCTCCATGGCGAGAGCCCCACACGGAGGTTACAAAGTAGGTTGTTAGTTTTACACACTGTGTATAGTTCATTTGAATTAATGTGTAAAATGTATTAAATTCTTGTAGATGGGAAGCTGACAGAACATGTGTGTTCATTTGTAGCTGTTATGAATTATGTCATTTATGATTACTGAGGAGTCTGACATGCTACAAATGGTAATATTAATCACTGTGAAATGCGCCAGATTTTTCTTACGACACTACCTAGTTCGGATCCTGAGCTTGCACAAATTATCTTGGTCTTTTGCAATGTGCTGTTTTTATCTTGAAGTCCTATCTCCTATATTATGTTTATCATTTCATTTCTTAAGCGAAAGTGAATGTGCACTACCTTTCTCTTTAGCTCATATTTCTTAAAAATAAAGTGACCTGTATATAACATAGTATGTAGCTAAATTAATACTATGGCCTGTTGCCTTGTTTTGATGCTATTTTACATGGTTACATTCACAAGTAGAATTTATCTTAAAATTATTTTTTGTAGCATTTGATATCCTTGATCCACAGTAGTTTAATGTTATCAGTAGATATTTTGAAAATAGTGTATATACAGTATGCTAATAAAAACAGTTACATATGAATAAGGCAGTAAAGGGTGAAAATCTGTTTCCTTAATGCTTCATTGTTTCTCTCTTTTAACTACTCAGTAGTATCAGTGATTTAAAGCTATCTTTCACTGAATTAACTTTATAAAATATCACTTGACACTAATACAAAACCAAAAAAAAACCCCAAAAACCCAACAAACCAAAAACTATTTCTAAGAGTTCTTTGGGTTTTTTTGAGTCATGGTATATGACTGTGTGTGAAAATATGTTACACGCAAACTCACTGAAATATATGGATGTGTAGGCATGCAAACTAGCTTGGATATTTCCTATATTCTATGTAGATTCTCTATTAAATAATAGCTCGTATATAAATATTTCGATTAGTTGACAGTTTTGTGTCTGTGCACTGGATGATGAGAAAGATTAAAATGCTCCATATCATAATATTCTGAGATAGACACATTAACAGTTGCAGTGCATAACCTTCAAGCTGTAAGATTATATTTATCCGTAAAAGGAGGAAAAAAATGATGGTTAACAGGTAAAGAGTTCTGTTTCAATTCAGTCCTCTGCTGTCTTCTCAAGTATCATGACTGTTGTTTAAGTAAAGTTTTTAAATTATTTTTCTTCTATATTTTCTACCATTATAAATTAGGTACTCCATGTAAAATTACTTTTACAGGCCTCTGGACATTTCAGTATCTGTTTGTGTGTGAAGTCAGTGGTTTTCAAAATATATTCAGACCAACAAACAAACCCTGTTTGTTTATAGTAATTCCTGTCCATGCAATAAGTAACTGTCATGAGGAATGAATAAAACAGTAAGTGATTTATTTTGGAAAAGATTGTAATAATACTTGACTAAAGATCTGTTCCATTATATCAACTCAAATTTTGACAGTCAATAATTTTTTTTTAATACTAACACTAACACTAATAGTAATACTAACACTAACATGCTCAACTGAACAATCTTATATGCCTGTCTGGAAATGCAGATGGAAGGATTTATCAAAACTTCTGGTTTAGTGAAAACTGAGATTTGGTGTAGAAGCCCAGCTTTTCAATGAAGATGATTTAGCTTGACTGTTCCCAGAGCGATACTTTGACATCTTGACGTTTAAAAACTTCAGCCAAATAAGCAGTGTCAGACATTGACTGTTATTGCTGGAGAATTCACATGCTCCTACAATAAATGATGCTATTTGCATTCCTACTGAGATCAGGATCTCATAAAGAAGGATTTTCTCTAGTGTCCTGGAAACCTATGCACTTCTTGAATCCTTGTGTGTCATAAATAATTTTCAGTTTAAACAGATATCTTTACATGTATGAGTATAGAAAGCAAAATCTCTTGGAATTAAAATCCCTCATTTTTGGGGAAAGACATCCAAATGGAAATGTAGCATCTGGTCAGTGTTCTGCAATGGTAGCAGAATCCATTTAGCAATTAAAAAACACAATTTTAAAAAAAATTGGTGTCACACTTCTGAAATGGAAATAAAACTATTTTTTGGTGTCCAGAGAGGTGGTGGAATATCCTATTGGAGATATTCAGAACTCCATTGGACAAGACCATAAGCAATGCAATGTAAGTTGGCCAAACCTGAAACAGGCGTTGTGCCAGTTGACCTCCAAAAAACCCTTCCCAGCATAAATGTCATCATCAGGGAACTGGTGAAGGGCAGGCATCACATCTTATGACTGTTTACCTTTACTAATATTTATTATATATTAACAACACATAAAAGTCTGGTTCTTTCACTTTGTTTTTGAGGTTTCAGAAGAATATTAAGTTAAACTTAATGTCTTAGTTTCTTATGCCTGAAGCTCTTTTTGCATCCTTCAGTAACAACTCTTGTAGATGATGAAACAGAAATACACAAATATACAAATATACTTGTTATCCAGTGGCATGTTACTACAATGTGAAAAAAATCTCCAGAACGAAGACAAGACACGTCTAGCAAGTTTGTCTATCTTTTTCAAAGCACATTTTAGAATGCTTACTGTGCTGTTGTACAGTAGGTTGATTTCAATTTCTAGGGCTGCAAAATCTGAGCAGTTTGGTCCTCCCACCTTTTGTTCATCTGTGATGCCTCTATGTATAGAATTAGTAAGTACAATATGAAGTACTTTATTGTATGCCCCCTAAAATTCTTAGTATGAGAAATAACGGGACAGATTTCGAATTACAATGTTGTTTGTTGTTTGTATAAATACACATCTACACATGTAAGCTTTTTTATCTTCATGATTGCCAAGTTGCTATAAATACATATATTTAAAGACAAAACTTCAAAGTTATTCTCTGAAGGTGTTTTAAAAGAACCACCTACACTTATTTCTGTTCTCTTTTTAATGTCACTGAATTGTAGCGTTCCTGACGAAGAGCACTGTCAGCTGCGAAGACTCAACTCCTATATTTACAGACAGCCAGTATCAAAGTGCAAGCTTCCCACAGAGCCCCATATGCCGTTTTTTTTTTTTTTTTAGGAACCAGCTTTCAGAGACAATAGCTTAGTTGCTACATATATTTATCTCTAAATATCTTTGAGTGGGCATTATGTTGTGGTACAGACTGATCTAAGCCAGCTGTCTACTTTCTCTTGCCTAGTCCTCTGATCCATTAACTTCCTAGTGATGAAGGATCGTTACCATGCTTTTTCCTTAGTATTTTTTGAAAGACATCTACTTAGAGACTGGAACAAATACAGAACATAAGATTATGACTTACTAGGTCTTTCAGCTAATTATATTTCAGATTTTCAAACAACTGACTGTTTTTTATATAGTATATATAGTATATTTCAAGCTTTTTTAATGTGAAATGTGAGGTAATGAGTAGGTCTGTTTCACTTATTGCGCTGAATTTTTGAAGTGAATTTTTAAAATGGCTTCATTTTCTCCAAAATTTGACATTAAATCAGCTATATATTAAGAATTCCAGACAATATTAACTGGAATTACAGAAAACCTGAAGATTTTTTTATGTTGCTTCTGAAAAGAGATTGTAAACAGAAAATTAAAGATTATTTTAAAAAGATTTGGTAGTTCCTGTTGTTGGTTAGGCCACAGTATTATTGTTTCATCTCACATTAGATAAGAAGCTTACTACAGATTACATTGAAAATTTAATGTGGTTTGAATATTGTGTTTATAGTTGTTAGGATCAATGGGATGGAAGTTATTGTCAGTATTACTATTCACTGAGAACTGATACAGAAATCAAGCAGGGTTTATACCATGGAACTGCAGATCAAAAATTACTTCCTCTCTCCGTAGCCCAGAATACAGAAATGACAGACATGAAATTGGATGTGAAACATTCTTTTTCAATCTTTTACAGTTATGTCCGTGTAATGTCTGCATTTGTGCAGTGTGAAATGGTCCTGTTTAGTTGATAAAGAATACTAGGTTATTGTGTATTTTGAAAAACAACAATTGTTTTTAGTTCTATATTGACTCTGAATTTGTTTTAGGAATAAAAAGTAACTGACACTAGTTTTCTAAGTCAGATTTTGCAGCTTTAAAACCAAGCTGTCTGAATTATTGATCTGCAGACCACAGAGAGTGGGTGTATAGTGTAGATAACAGCTAAATGCCAACACAAGAAAAGAAATGTGAAAATAACAGTAAAACCAGGCATTTTCAGGTCTCTAGTTACAGCATAAGTATATACAGCAGTGTAAGGAGAGCTTTTAATTGCCATGAGAATGAACAATACGTTTCAAAAAGGAAAAATGCCAAGTTTTATATTTAAGCATCCTCAGTAAGGTAAAAGTAGTAAAACTATCCGAGAGAAACTCTGCTGAAAACAAGGTCTCAGAGATTTTAGAAATGACAGTGTTTGGAAATCGACATCTAGAAGTCCAAAATGGTACATCAAATTGTAATTTTTCAAGAACTGAACGCCACAAAAAACAGTTAGGATCAAAATAATTGTAAATGAACAGACTATGAAGGAGCTTTCTTTTAAAGGGAGTTTGACTTTTATTACTTGTAGAATCAAAGTCATCAATGACTCCACTGAGTTTCAGGGTTCTTAAGGCATATAAAAAAAACCTGGAGGGACAGACATTTTAGTAATGAGTATTTAAACTGTGAGATTACTTATGTTCTACAAAAAAAAAATGTGCAAAAAACTATATATAACATTCCTTTTCTGAATTTTAATTATTCATTCAGATGGGAATAAAAGAATTTATATGCTTAAGCAAAGTATTTTGAATCAGATAGAAAATATTTGTCATCTTCTTTTGTCAGCTTTGTACGTTTGCCTGAGCCAGACTATATTTTCTGGGGCAATGCTGAGACTTTTAACATGCTGAAAACTGCTTTATCCAACTAGAAAAACAAATTGATAAACTGAATTTTCAAATAAAGGACCCATTGCTTATTACATTTTGAAAATGTTTTTAGATGGACTTGTCATTGCTGGGT